CCATAGGACATATATGACTGCTGTGTAGTGTTATGCGAATTCGTGGTGTTCTGACCTGATAAATGCCACAAAAAGTAAACCTTGTTCCTCTTGTTAGTTATTCGGATGAGCTATTGCGTTCAATGCATAGCTCCTTTTCCACCACCACCCCACTTGACAGCCCACTGAAAGTGCTGAATTTATGCACCAACTTACCAGCTCGCGCCCGCAATGAGCAGCTACCTCCCCCTCCCTCCAAATCATCGGTGAACGAAACTGCGGCAGCTGCAACCGCTGTACGACGAGTGCGCGGTTATTACAGCTGACAATGATGATGACGGACTATCTCCCACTCCCAGGGTTAATTTGATGGGGCAGGAACCGCATGGTGCATTCAGCTCATCTCCCTAAAAGAATACAACACTTACTTGTGTGACTGTCCACGATTCTGGCCGGACTATTTAAGTATGCAGACGCTATTATGAGTTGTGTGTAACGCCAATGAAGTTCAATACCTCCATTGAGAGACAATAATATGATGTGACAAGTTAAGCTGATATTCACTAACAGTGGCAATTGAAAAAATCTGCAAAAACTCACAAATATTAGTGGAATTTTTGGACGTTAGTCTTCTCGGATACTCTTGCTGACAAGTTTACGTAACAAGTCAAACTGAGCAAACCGAGGTTCAGGTTTTTTAAATTCCTTTTAACTTCCTTTTTAAAGTTTTCCAGAAATCAAAATATTGTTTGCATCTTCAACTGTAAGAAACTTTCATATGATGTGCAGTTAGTCCGTCGATGACTAAAACCAGGTAATTCCAGTGCAATAGTAAAGTCGAAGGAACGATAATATCAGTCAGTTACTTACGACAATGTTCATTCATATGATGTGCAGTTAGTCCGTCGATGAGTAAAACCAGGTAATTCCAGTGCAATAATAAAGTCGAAGGAACAATAATATCAGTCAGTTAGGTACGACACTGTTCACTATGGTTCAGTGACTTTGAGGACCTACTTTCAGGTCACTCCGACAAACTTTTTCTCCCAGCTCAAATTCAGCGGTCGCTCCTTAAGTCGGAAACTTACAAAGGCTTGTGATTCTGGTTAGGTCAGGCTAAAAACAAGCTGTTTTGCCGACACGGTTGGGGACAGACTCTACATGTACAGACTGTATATCCTAATATAATTTGGTTAATACTTATGCAATTGTACTAGATTTTTGTGTTAAATCAGGAAATCTAGTGTAAGTGACGATCGGAAACGATTGAATTCCTTTACATAGATTATGTTTTGGTGCATTTTTATCAGTGACTTTTGCTGACTGATTGAGGGAGCGAAACGGACCAACTGCTCGATGCCCTACTAGCAAAATTGTTCATTGCCGTACTATAAAGGGAAAGTTCAACACGAACCCTTTACATCCGGCATGTCGACGTCACTTTTGCAATATGAACCTGATGGAGAGATGAATAAAACACCTGACAACTTCCATGCTCCCTGCCCAAAATGCAAGCTGACACAAGATGGAAGAGATCAATATTATCCCATTCATGAATAGTTTACTAGTACCCCTCAACAACTGATGACCGTCCCAAACTATTAAGCCTGCAATTCGCTCGTAAAAAACAATCAGCTGAAGCCAAAACTTAATATATTCTATTGTTTTTAAAAGCATTTTTCACTAACCTTCCCTTTGTGAGTGAATTGCTCTGAGAACCGTACGGTTCACTTATCCACTGTCCCCTGAAACGCATTAACCATTCCACGATATCTCAGTGCAAAAAGGGCCAGTTATTTTCATGATCTCTGTTCAATTTAAGCCGTACATATCGTTAAACAAATGAGACAATTTGAAAAGGCTGTAAGAAAGCCTCTACCGGTGTGGAAGTTGAAAGAAGAGAAAAACACATCCTGAAAGTTAGATCGCTTTAGATCTCTTTGGTAAACTAGAGTCAAAACTTCGGATTTTATATGAGTGTACTAGCGTAAACTTAGGCGTATCGACCAAAAGATATCTGGCGGGACTGAGGGATTACTGTTAGTCTGTGCAGTTGCCATTTGGGTAAGCACATAAGTTTAACCGAAGCCCATTGTTACTTTGATAAGTAGCTGCAGAATTTTACCTATGCGACTGCTCTAATCCACATTAGTCATATTGGGCCGTCAGTGACTGACCGAAAGTCGGCTTTTGTATTTATTTGATTTATGGTGTCTTTTTTCGCGCATGACCTCACGGCTTCAAAATCTCTATCGCCCTATTGCAATGATTTCGAGAATGAATAAGTCGAAGAGCATATTATAGAATCTGTCTCTGCAGTACGCTTCTACTTAGCACACGCCCGAAATGGTTACGAACACCATATTGATAGTAACTTCAGAAGAATGTTGGTGAACGAAAGGCTAAGGACACCAAGTCGTTTGACAATAAAGACAAACGTCGACTGAGTCCAAACACACGGGCTTTGTGCACTTCTCGGTCAGGGAAAATGTTTATCCAAATACTTGAGAGGAGTATTTCTACGGGCGCTTCCAGAGTGATTGACTGATTCGACCACTGCAGTATTCTTATACAAAGGATCTTCAATTATCGTCTTTTTAAATTGCACATTTTCATTTATTGCTTGTAGGGAGCGCTGCTGGAGGAAATCTTCTGTTTTGTTCATGATACTTTGAATTTTGTGCGTTACTTTCCCACAGTTACCTCTGAATATTTCATTGTGGACTGTTCCTCATCCGGTAGTACGGATCGGACATTGCTTCGGGAATGAGTCCCAAATCGAAGATTGCGTCACATTCGCAAGCCCTGAAGGAGTTCCTTGTTCGGACAAGACCGTCGGAGTGGTTGTCACTTGTGGAACTGGTAACATCGCTCTATTTTATCTTTTCTTTACATATACACCTATTGGTTTTCACCGACTACGCCTGCATGGAACCGACCGTCGGAGTGGTTGTCACTTGTGGAACAGGTAAAATCACTCTACTTTATCTTTTCTTTAGGTATACACCTATTGGGCTTTCACCGACTACGCCTGTATGGAACTTTCATTAGTGTAGATATGATTTACGGACAGACAGTATGGTTTAATCAGTAATCTTTTATCTACTTGTTGCCATTCTAATTAGGTGAGGAGCCCAACTGAATGGTTAGACAGAATTAGTGACACCAAAGTCGTCAACAATCAGACAGCTAATTTATCCCAGCACTTGGGTTGTGCCATAAAGAGAAATGTCGATCCACGCACAGAGTAAAAGAATCATTATCAGATAGATGCCACAAACTGCTCGCGGAGTGCTCTCATTTTCTAACTACTTTGGTTTCTACTAGAGACTCAGTTAAAGCTCAGCTGAGCCCGTTGCTTCAGATAGTTTTCAACTGAGCCCGCCTCACTATATTCGGGAGCTCACCGTATAGCTCTATCAAAGAACCGATCATCGACTGCCTGGGATTTCTGGCACTCGTCTAAGTAGTGTCATTCTGAGGAGCAAATTGTTGTTTCGACCCACGCGGTTAGTTGGCTTAAGTCGGCTTAACTCCCTTGAAAGAAAACAAATAGCTATTCCGAGCACACTTTGCTCTCCTTCAGAGATCTGATATGCCGTAAAATTATGAAGCTTGTTTGGTAATCAGGAGACAGAGGACGGCTCATACCCCAAAGGTGGATTGTGACAGTTGTTTGATAGGCTGAGTGAGAAGCGAACAGGTCACGTGTTGCGTATGATAGAATCGCCATTGCAAGTAGTTTTACCAATCAATGAAAGAATGATTGTTTTCCACACTGTTGAAATCGACCCCCTCTAGCTCTTCTGCTGATAATAACTAAAGCTAACAACCAAGAATTTACAGTCATATCATAAATGGAATACAATTTAATTCACTTTGAACAAGGTTGGATAGAAAAAAGCTCAAATTTGAAGATATTCGTGTAATATTAAAAAATCTGTTTTATAGGCTGAGACATCCTAGACTATATCATTCTTACTAGAAAACATGATTTTGCGATAAGTGAATACTTTAGGTAGAAGCTCCATTTTGAAAAGTGTTCACTGCTTCCCAAAAGCACCCGCACTGTAGGACTGTAAGACGTTAACGATGTCCAGGCTATACGCAGACTTGATAGCCAGCCAACGTAAATTCAAATACCACAAGAAAATTAAAAAATTCACTGAGTCCAACGGTGTGTGAATTGCTTTCGGTTTCCCTCCCAATTTCGTGCTTTCTTATTGACTGGATACATTCTGTTTCACTCAATAAGTTCTAGTATGCAGTTATCGCTGGAGAAACCACCATCCAGTCGCAGTGCGTGTTATTTCCTCTGATCTCTCTTGCTTGTAGCTCTACCGGACCTTGAGCCTGATGTCATGGCACTACAGAATTCCGCCTACAGCACCGTCATCCCCCTATTCCAGGCGCAGTGTGCCCTAGAAGAAAACTGCTTTCCACCAAGTGTTTATAACCTAATCAGCCGAAATCCACGTATGGCACTGATGCACATGCGTCGACTGTTGCGTTTCTCTTCTATCATACACAATGTGGGAACCGACGTATTCCGTCCGCATGAACCACCGGAACGATGGGTGTGGCACGCCTGTCACATGTAAGAATGCAAATTAACCGGTCGAATTGTGTTTCTCACCAATTGTTTCTGGTTTAGGTGTGACTAATTCACACATAAAATCTGACTCGGCCTCGGTGGTGCTACCGAAAACTGGAATGAATTGCACACCAAGACATTCCAGAGTATGCTCCGCTTTAAGTAAACAAAAAACGAATGGCGACCAAAATTGCGCGAATGTTTTTTTTCAGTCACGCTGAAGTTCGTCTTGGACACATATTTTTGAAATCCCCTTTTACTTGTACATACCTGAGAAACTACGAGAAATGGATTGAAAGAAGTTGAGCACGAAACTTGAAAGCTAGCAACAAATCGTTCAGGTAAACTCTCACACAACTCCAAACTATAAAATCTCACGAAAGGAAGTCTACGATAAACAAATAGATAAAGTTGGTTTTGACGAAAAATCTCACTGAATTGCTTCCGGAACGCTTTTTCATGAGGTTATTCGACTAAATATCTCACGCCTTGTGCTCCAAATTGAACAGTACTCAAAATGTCCAAGAAAGGTCCGTGTGGATCGCTCACAGGTATTACAATATAAACTTTTTATTCATACTTCTCTGTGTGTTATTTTATTCCCGATATTCAAAAGAGTGATTGTGAAAACCGCTGACACAAGCTGAAATTGGAAACCGGTTTATTCCGATATCGCACCGAGTTCGTTTTCCATTAGTCCCCTTTAAATCACAAAAAAAAGACAAGATGTTTCAGCTATGAGATTAACCTGACTCTCGATTAGAACGCAGAATAAGACAGAAAAAAGCGGAGTCGACACTGATGGTTAACTGCCATACTACATCACTGCCGTAGCAAGGATTGTTTCAGCGACCAAAAAAGACAGGCCCATCGGAGCCGAGTGATTATCCACCATGTTGTCTAATATTTTTTCCATCAAGCTGTCAAAAACTGTCTCTGTTTGCCTAAAGACCCTATGACCCTATTACTATAGACGATTTTTCATTAACTTGTGGCGTCTGTGCTGATGTTCTCCCAAATTTTTCCATTAAACTGGAACGTTTATTGAAATAGCCATTAACAGTGCAAGGCAAATTTCATTAGAAGATGGAACTACATTCGCCTTGAGGAAAGAAAGATCACCTGAGTATTTTGACTCCAACTCTCTAAACACTTTGTAAATCCATCCTCCTCTCAGTTATGATGCCCTTGTATTCGGGCAAAAGGCTTCACACATCCAGAATCTTTCATGTGACTTATTTGTCTCCAGAGTTTAATTTAGTTTTGACTACTGCAACAGTGTCTGAATGCAGTTGACGACTCGAAATGTTCTTTTATTATTTTTGCCAGTTCTGTTGCTTAGAATTGCGGAAAATGCAAGTGCAGTTTATTTTAAACGTCGTCGATATTCACTGTTTGACAAAACTCCTAATTTAGCTCAGGTTTCTTGGTCCCCAGTGGTGTGAACTGACTGTTATAGGAATTCGTGGTCGTTATGGCTAACGGTTTTCAACTTCATGGCAACTACTGTTTTAAATTGTCGAATCCCACGAGTGATAACAAGAACTTTGTGCTTTCTACGCAGGCATTATCACAGCATGAAAGTGTTCTCCTACTACAAAGTGGTCAACGCCAAACACCAAGTTCTTGCGGTCGGATTGAAGGCCAGTTTCTGTCTTGAAGATAATGCTTGTAAACCTGGATTCAAAAAACTCTTCAGATGTTCAACTACTTTGTCAACCAGGGGAGATCAAGGTGGGTACAATATTGCCAATTTAATTTACACGCAGTTTGCGTGAAGTTATTCATAAATCCTGGCCGGGCAATTCACGTGTTTTATAAGTGCCATACTTTAAAATATTTCACTTTATAGACGACATTATTCAGATTTGTTTTATTATAATGTCATCATTACCCACTACGGCTGTAAAATATCTGACTGTTTATTAATCAATCTCATGAGATGTGCAGAACTGAGGAAAAGTCCTACTGAGATGATGCAATAAACTGAAACAGCAAATCCATCGGGAAAGTCGGAGATTGGCGCCCCTTTCTACTGAAAGACTACATAGTGTGTTAGCATGGTGCCTTGGGTGACGCAGAAGTGACTGCTGTTGTGGTACCGTCCATCTGATTCGCTCGACGGGGATTCATGATCAACAGTATCGCATTGCACCTTCCTTAAAAACAGAAGTATTATTTTCATGGTCGGAGGCATAATTGCGGTGATCAGTAACTCTTTGCATAGTAGCCTTGCATTTTTTGAACTATAACCAACAGCAAGTGACCTGTAATTGATCTTCCGTCTCGGCGTGTACAACAAAACGTAATTTGTGTTTAATGTGACGGCGTTCGTGTAGCATACGGAGCTGGATTGAATGTCAAACTAAGCAGGGCTTATGAACCAGCCTTTACAAGCTTATTAGAATTGGTTGGTTGCACTCCCAGATAATCCGTAATTTCTCCACAGCCACGGGAGCAGACCTTTCAGCAACAAAGAAGTTCATCTTCGATGACTGGCCAGGGTAAAACAAACGGTCGCTGTCTGCCGCAGGAAACTACTGAAACAAACCTAGACCGGAATTTTGCCATTTCAATTTCCTCGCTGGGTTTGTTATAATCAGATTCAAATCATTCTCATGTCCTCCTGTACGGACCTGCTTAATGTGAATAATGCATACAAAAAAGACATAACAGACTCCCGTTCACTAGATCCTGTCAGCTGTGCTAGGTCATACGTGGATTCGGGCTATGCAAAGCGATGGCAATATTGGAGCAGCTTAGCTTTTGTCGATCGATTATACGTCCGTTAGTTCTCATCGGTCAACTAATTCAGTAGTCTCCAAACTTGCTGCCTTCGAAATTGGCATCAATCTTGAACGGACGAATTTGAGAGCTCCACCGTACGAATGGCGTAGAAGTGCTGACTCTTCCCTTATAAGTGAACGCATTATTTCAGCGAGTATTCCTCTTCTTATACACAATGGATAACATTCTTGAAAATCAGGAAATGTTCGAAAGGGTTCCTGTTTATCTATATCAATCCGGTGAACCTGAAGATGCTATCGGTTTTCTCTGGTGCATATCCGTGACATTTATTGATAAGCAGGGCAGTTTATTTTGTCATACAATGGTGCGGTATCTAGGCTTTTGTGTATTGTATCACATCGCGAGATGCACTTTGGAAAGTGGTTTAAAAGGTGCATGGTCGCGTTTTTTATCAGTGCCAAGGACATTTAAAAATATTGGCAAGTTTAATATCTATGTGATTCATATTTATCTCCCTCGCTTCAGCTCCCCTATTTCAGGTCCTTTGCTAATTTCCTTTATTAAAACAACGACGCTGACCGGCAATGATGGTATCCTATAGTAATAATAAGAATAATCTGATGTTTGTTTAGAATTCGCACAGCATTTTCGGTTAAGAGACGTTCGTGCAAGCAACGTTTAAATTTTGAGGCTGAATTAACCCGTATCTAGTGTACCAAACCTCGGCTCTTCGCCAGAAATCTTTTGTCAGCAAGTAAAAAACAAATACTTTGTGACACGTACTGTAACTTGGTGCCTGTTTACTCGTTGATTTTATTCGGGGAAGTCATTAGCTGAGAGAGATTCACTGTCCTAAACGAGGACCGGAACGCCCAAGCTTCTGAATCGAATCTGGACATTACATTATGTCTAAGGATTGGTGACTATAAGTGTAGCTTGACTGCGTTTTGATAAGAAATTGTTGTTATCCGTTTGTAAAAGTCCGGATTCTGATGGTGGATTCTGTCTTCAGCTGCAAACTCATAGCAGAAAGAGTTTTTGGCTTAAGCGGGCTTGATCCAGTCTATAGATTCTCCCAGTGCAAGTTAATGGCACCACTGACCACCAGTCTACAGTATCGTGGCGGAGCAGCACTTTCAGATTCCCCGTGGCCATTTGTTATGCGCATTTCGTTGAGCACCTTTGCCCAGATACTTCACATCTTCCTTGCTCTTCAGGTTTCGGAAAACAGGAATGACTGCATAAAATGTGAATCTGAAACTCCAAAGTCTCTTAAGGGATTCCAGAATATTCTGTGGCAATCCTAATGTAGATCACTCTTGAAATTGGATCACAATGGTCCTTTTGGAGTGGTGCTCCCAATCAATTAGATTTGAGCAAGTCACTAGTTTGTACATCACATCTAAATACTCAGTGCTCAGAAATTCACAACCTCTACGGTGTTTTTTGTGTTCGGAATTATTCCTACCTAATTTGTTTCCTGTTCCAAATGTCATTACCATAGTGGTCAACCAAAAGAGAATACCTCTAATGGACAAGGTGCTTAGTTTTTTCCTTTCGTTAAACTGGTATCGTTATGGCACCCTCTTTTCTCTCTTAAAAATGGGAAGCAGATATGCAGTAGATTAATAGCATGTGCTTGTGAATACGAAACATTCAGTTTACTATAACCTTGTTACTCCGACGAAATGGACATCCCTCATCATACAGGCTGTTTACGCTTGTTAAATCGACACCCTGTTTCCTACTACAGTGATCTGAGTATCTGCCCGCGGTGGTATGGCTCGGTCAATGGGTGGATTTGTGTGCTCATCTTGCACTGCGGTAGTCAACTTTTGCGCGAACAATTATCCTTGGGTGCATTCCAGCTAGCCAATGATCCTTCGGCAAAACATATTTGCGCATATGAATTCGTAAATAGCCAGAGTAACCAAGTTTCTGATAACGAAGAACAGAAGTCTGCCATTTCTTGAGCAAACGTTACGATTTCATATTACCTGCTGAAGCGCGTGACTTGACTTTCCACTAATTGAGGGTCATCCTAAGGTAGAATAAGGCCATTTACTTCTGAAGATGACAGCGCATGACGGTATTTAGTTAAGGAAGCCGTTACTGATGTCAAATTTCTCATGAGTAGCGGACACAGGTAATCCACATGCAAAACGTGCGCGTGCAAGTGCATTAAGGAAAAACGCACGGAAGCAGGAGGTCTTTGCGCATGCATAATTCCAAGGCTGCACACTAACTTCAGCATCTGCAACATAACTAAGCGCCAAGAATTTCCTGCCAGACTGAGCTTAGTTGTCGGTAATTTATCTGTGATGGTCAGAAACGGGTCTTTTGCAGACGTACGCCAGCTCACCGTGCATATGTCTACACTATCTCCAATAGGTCGAGAGTTCGAGGCATCCAGTAGGTCAAGCCAAAACTCTAAAGTGTTCCCACTGATTCAAACCACTGGCCTGCAACAACGGAAGTTCTAATGACCCGTCACCATGAACAGCAGTTCATGTGGTAATTTCAGAGGCCCTCCTTGCGAGTCAGCAGCAGGAACGACAACTAAACTCACTGATGAAAAGAAAATCGGCGCCCAAACATCTTAACTAAACAAACGTCAACTAAGCTGTCGGGTCCTTCGCACTTTTTGCTTCTGAAAAAAGTATCAAGCAGTAAGACGAAAATTTACAACTACTAAACATCTCCGCTTTATTGCTAATGTAGTTTCTAAATCTCACCCCTGGTGAGTCCTCATTTTGAACTACCGTTATTCTGTTTTTTGTACATGACATTTTGAGTAAATTAACCCTGTAATTTAACTCAAGACTAGGTTGAAAATCTCCCGTAGGCTGACGTTTTACTACTTACCACTACTACTTACTTTCTTGCCCCAGGTATTAGCCCCGGATGCCAAGACAACTACTTCCATGACTACGATTGTCAATGGCTCGATATCACAGATCTGCCTGCTGGTTCCTATACTTTCCAACTGATACTGAACCCCGACTTTCTAGTCCCGGAAATGACGTACGAGAATAATGCCGTATCTTGTGACCTGACCGTCGGACGTCAACATAATAGTGCATCACTCAGAAACTGTCACCTGACCCACCCTTACGATTTAGAATGATTTTTTCCAAGCCCACCTGTTTTTTTCGAAGGATGAAATAGATCACTGCTGCACTTGGCTAGAAACTTTCTGCCCGCACAATTATTCTTTTCAATGACACCCAAGTTTTTCCGAACCAACCACCACTTCGTTGCTGACTCATTTGTCATCATTAAATTTAGCCATAAATTTTGAACAGGCAAAACATTTTCACTGTCTATAAACTTTGATGTGGCAAAATAGCTCTTCCTCAGATTGTTCGATCGTAAAAGCTGACAAAGAAGTTTTGACGTCTTTAGAATACATCCCATTTGCTAGTAAAGTGGTGTGCTTGTTCCAGCATCTACAAAGGGGATTTTCCGTTCCACAAGAATTCCCTGTGTGATGGTCCGAAGGGAAAACAAAGTGTAACGACTGAATTCACATGCAAATAAAAGAGATTTGTACTAACGAATGAAAGAATCACACAAGCGTTGCAACAGCATCTCAAGGTAGGGTAAACTTGGCTGCATGTCAAAAATTTTGTCCTCTGTTTGACCATTGCACCGTCCATGTGGTGATTACCAGACCATTAGCTTAGATTTCATTTGTAGCTTACAAAAATAGTGGTTGAACAACAGGAAGCGCACTAGGTAGAGCTCAAGAGTTAGTTACTCTCTCGAGGTGAAATTAGGCGCCAGATTATTGCTTTACGGTCACCTAATGATAAACCACCGAGCTACTGTCAAACAGTACAATTCTCGGATGTTGTTATCCGTCGCTGTCTTCCTTTAGTATATCCGGCGAATTGCCAAACCGAGCTTTCATACATTCATCCATTGATCTCACAAGAATACACCATTGCCCAATCAGACTGTCTACTTTTGTTAAGAAGCTAGTGTTTACACCTAACATGTTGAAATGCGCAAAGCTGTTTAAACGCTATATTCACAGAAATACGAACATTGAGAAGTTGCTTAGCATCTGTTCCCCGAAGTGCAAAAAACGTCTCGTTCACTTATTCTTTTGTTCCACTTTCTCTCAGGTTCATATATTTTAAAATCTCACCTAATTACATATCGATACTAGAATACACCCTATAGAGATAGCCTATTTTGCGTTAGACATTCCTTAATAACCCTGTCACCTTATTTCGCTTTTGGAACATCATATAACCTAAACCCATCACCTGTTCCCACCATCATATTTCAGCATTCGGCGTGTAAAATGCAGAACATTGCGTGGGCTGAAAACGTACCGAGAAACTTGCCACAATCAACAGCTGTCGAATTAGTCATGGTGAGCCATGACTGTATTTTCTACCTACTTCATTCTGCGTCAGTAGCATAAGTTGAGGAGAGTCCTAATTGCCAAGTGTCCGAATTCAGCAAGCCTAACTCCGCAGCTCTTCAGAGTGAACAGATGGAGCATATTATCCACACACTTGTAAACACTCAGTCAACTAACCTCATGATCAAGTTTATAGCCTGTTCACACCACAACTCTGCATGGATATTCAGCTGTTGACGCCTTATCTTACACACCATAATAACGTCAGCCGACTAAAAAATAATCAAATACATCGCAACACTCTAGAAAATTGTTCTGCTCGGATGAGATCATAAAGATTATGCACTGCGGATGAACGAAACGAAAATTGCTGTTTTTTATAGCTCAGTGGTTTTGTCAAGGTGGGTGGCGTTTGTCAGCAACAAGAGAATCTGAAACACAAAAACAGAAGAATCAGAGGTTGACTATCGATATGCATTCAGGCTACAGGAGGTTGGGCAAATGTTTGAGGCGTGACTGTCAAGTGTGCGTCGGTTGAAGCCGAGGTCTGCTAATCACGCTATTGTTTGGAATTTATGATCCTTAATCGAAGAGCTGACATGGACTGACCATCTGTGAATTACGAAGGCTTCAGTCCAGCGTCATTACCCGTGACTTATTAGGCCTGTCTGAGATGACTGGATAAAGTCACCTTCCACATTGTGTATTTCTATTTCTGAATGTTGAACAATGGCTGACAACCCTTCTGGCATCTGGCAATGTCAGGGTTTTCGGGCCCTTTATTCCAGAGAGCGCAAGCAAACTTGTCGTATCCGAAGGAAAGGTTTTGTCACGTAGTTAACTTGGTGATGGGATGGGATCTCCATGGTGTGTCAAGTGTCTGCTAATGGTCTTGTGTATTTCAAACAATGTGTGTACGTTACTTCTTGGTAAGATTGCTGAATTAGCTCGGTAATTTGCGCCTGATGGGGGGTCTGAAGTGTCGATAGACCAGTACAGTCTTTCGGGCTCCATCTTAATGTAAGACACGAAACAGTTGTCCTACTGAGAAGTGTTTCTGGCGTTATTATCTTTGGTCACTTTGAAGGGTTCGTCAGAAAATAACATGTACGCACTATTCACCAGCAAGATAACGGCAATTGTTTCATATTCAACAAAGTCCCAGCATCACTAAGACCCCGATGGGCCTAGATGAAGCTCGAAAGTTTGGACTGGTACTCTAAACTCAGTTGCTGGATTGCTTCAGTCAATCTGGTACACGTCATATTTCTAAAATTCGATTCCGTTGTGCGAATACTGAGCGCCAAATTATCTGTAGTATACGGTGTCTGTCAGTTTGACTGATTTATATATAAGTATTGGTGATGTACAACCTTGCTTACTGGGCTTCGGCTCACGAGCTTTGTGGAGTAGACCTACCACAAAGATCGTGGCTCCACATATGTGCATACAGGCCTCAGAGCTATCACGTCGCTCACTCACACATGGTAGACGCAGCTTCAGACACAGCAACCTCCGCACACGCTCACCAGCCTCATGCACTACACCACTAGCACCGGCCGGTTCACGTAGGCAATGGTACACTGGGGACAGTGTTCTTCAAAAAGGGGGCCAGGGTAGTATACGGTGTCTTGATTGATTTATATATAAGTATTGGTGATGTGCAACTTTGCTTCCTGGGTTTTGGCTCAGGGGCTTTTTTTCTGTTTTCATCAACAGATCAACAGAAATTGTCCTGAACACCTGCCTTCGGAGGATCACTGTCCCCTGGTGCTTCCATAGCGTGCATATTACATATACTGCGTAGAAGTTAGAATTTGAAAGTGGCGGGCAAAAACAAGACGAGGGAGGGCAAAATAAGAGGCATCCTGTCGTACACGCGGGAAGAAAACTGCAAGCTGCGGAAAATTAAGGCCCAGAAAGACCGATCTGGTGAAGCAGCTGGATTATCGTAATCTCGTCGGTCAGTCTGAACTAAAACCTAAACACACCCCTGAGACCCCGTGGCCTTGGATTGTTGGGCCAGGGTCACAAAAGCACGAAAAGTGTGAATGATGGTGTGAAGCGATTAGCAACGCGGATAAATGTTGACAGGAGCATCAGAAGCATGGTGTACAGTGAAACTGTAGATACTCAGCGATGGTGCTGAGTCGGGGTTTCAGAGCACGGTATCACAAGCAGCAAATACTAGAGGCATTAGCTAGTCCAAAACTTACAGTTTTCCAGCAGTGGAAGAAACCGAGAGACAAACAGGTACAAACATTCAAACAAAATGAACTTCCTAACAGATAACAGGGAAGGCAGCCGAAGAAAATTGGCTTAATACAGCAGCCAACGGTCCATAATTATTCTAGACAGAGTAGAAGATGTACTAAAAGCATCTTGCGCAGCAAAGCATCATCCGTGATGCCTCGGATGCTTTAGTCCTTATTCTGTCTAATTGCATCCACATGTTTGTTCGAAAGAGTCAAGAAGTTTAATGCGCGCTGCCTGTTTACAACGGTGATAGAAGTACATGCAAGATTGCGAGGGAACGATGGTTCAGCAGATTAAGGTGGTTCTCAACTTCCTAAACCGTCCGAATTTCAACCCCTCCCAACAATTTTCGACCTCCTTGGTGAATTTTTCACATTAACTCTTTCATTGCAGGTCGCAAAAAGGAGTATTATTCTGGTCCTGGATATCTGAAACCAATCGCTGCAAGGTACCTAGGAATTTTCGCTGTCGTTGACCAATCATAAATATATGCGTAGGGCTTTATTTTTTTAATTGCAATGCAAAATCCTTTCTTAATACATCCGTGCAGCTTCTCTACACTAAACTTGCTACCTTACCCAATGCACGGAAAACTAGAAGAGGAACGATAGTACCGAGGAAATCTGTAATCGCTGCGAGCCGATAAAGCATCTGATTTTGGGCGGATGTTGGCAGGATTTAATGCAGTTCTACCCAAATGATCCCGTCGAACGGTAAACTTTTATTGATTATGGTCTCCAAAGAAACAACATATGAGGTGGTGTACAAAGCTTGAGGAGCTAGCCCATTTTCAAGCGAGCATTGGTTATGTGTATAGTCTTACTTGTCGGGCCTTGGCTAACGAGACTGCAACCATGACAAGTGTTGCAAATCTCGGCCGTTGGGCTATCAGTGGCCCACAGTTTCTTTGAAGTGTACACATCGCACTAAACGCACATTATAAAAAAGCATCCAAGGTGAACGACACCGAAAATCGTATTGATTGTTAAAAAGAGGAAGTGTTACGGAAACCCTCAATAACGATAAATAATGCAATGGATCCTTCGTTTAGCTGGTGCAGGCCAGGTCATGGGGCTCCATGCACACTGTAGTTAATGAAAGGGTGAGGAATCGCCCATTCAACACAAGGTCCGTGGCCAGAGTCTGATGAGCCGCCAGAGGCCTTGTGCATCGTCAAGAACCCAGCGAACAAAAATGTGTAACTTAAGGACAAGAGCTGATGAACGAGTTGATTAAGAATGATCCCAAGCTTACTCACCGATTCGTTAAACGAGGCCAGAAACAACAAATGTACATCAAATTTACGAGTAGATCATAATGTGTCGCATTGATTGTTCCTCAAGTAGACCAAGAATAGGGTGATGCCTAATAAATGTGGTGCGTTATGGTGCCCAAAGCAGGAACCGTTATTGAGAACATAGTTAATCAAAGTGGACCAATACATGGGAAAATACAACGAAAAATAACAACTGTGGCCGGCAGCTAGGCTCTGAAACCCGGTTCCAAAACCGCAACCTTTCATGCAAGGACCTTTCACAACTTAAGGGAAACTTTTGCAGAATTCGGAATATGTCTAAGTTAATTGTTGCTGATTAGCCCCGAATTAACCGCCGCATATGATTTTCCTGGTATATGCTACATACCAAGGAGCCCCGATGAGGAGAACATGCTGCCAGGCGCTGTACTTTTTCCACCGACTGACTACCGTGTGGTCTGTGCTAAGTGATGTGATCCTTGGATCTGTGGCGCGTGAATTTTCCAAGGGCCCTGGCTTCCAATGAAGGACTAGGTGTCATTTACACCTTCCCTTTGGAAGATCTATCTGCAAAACTTAAGATTTGTCAGAGGATTCGGCAATAAAGTAGTCAACTCGTTCTTCACCGTTTCGAGCTGCGTCGCTTTGATGAGCCTGCCAGATTTGGTGGCGCAACTACTAGAATAATCAATTGGTGATCTCAACTAGTCATTTACCACACCAACAGTCAACGTTGGCCCATTTTGTGTTAGGTTGTTTTATGACTTCCAAACGTTATGGTTTCAAAACATTTCTTACGTGACAAACAGGTTCGTGCTTATCGACGGCTTAACCCAAGCCAAGGACGAGGGACTCGTATGGAATGCCATATTTTTCGGCTTCTCAAAAGCATTTGATAGGGTCCCGCATGTCCCGCTGCCCCACAAACTCGAGGCTTACGGGATTCAGGGGAAAATCCCCCACTGATCAAGCCGTTCCTATCAGACAAATCACTCCGAATGAGAATAGGCTCGATCTACTCCTCTCCAGCGCCGGTCTCCATTGAGGTTCCCCAAGGCTCCGTCCTGGAACCAGTGCTGTTTCTGATCTACGTCAACGACCTCCGAGATGTTCTTGCAAGTCCATGTCTACTATTTGCGGACGATTTGAAATCCTGAAGTTCCATTGCCAGTGCCCTCCAAATGGATGTAGACGCTGCCAAGCGGTGGTCGTTGGACTGGGACCTCACTCTGAATGACGAAAATTGCTTTCATTATCGTCCAGATGCTCCACAAAGTCGAGTCCCACAATATTCAGGGGAAAATCCCTTCCTTGATCAAGCCGTTCCTATCACACAGTTTAACCACCTCAATCACGCCGTCCATCACGGGGCTGTCTAGAAACCGAAGTATTTCAGTGCAGTGGCGGTACGGCACTTTGATACCCAGTTTGAAAGCGCACCCGCAATTGTTCACTCCCTACTTTGGCAGCACACTCTCGCCCACTCGTTCCTTTACTGGAAACTACAATCAGCCTTCATTTGCCACAAGCCACCACCGGGAGGCTTTCATTGCAATCCGCCTATCCTTCTGTTGGATGTAAAGATCTCAGCGACTTTTATTCGTGCTCATCACGAAGTCGGTCAATTCTCATACAGTTTGCGTTAACTCGTTCCCCCAAGTAACTTTAACACTCTAACCCGCTCCAGTGGCAACACTAGTGAGTCGCCCAAGTTTCACTGCACACTGTGATTCTGAGTCTCTTACTACCTTTTGTCCGTACTACACATTGCCCCACTTCACCATCCCTACTTACGCTTTCCGTGGCCATACGCCCAACAGCCTATGGTCATGAAGCCCTAGTGACGGTTTTAGACATTAATTCAAACTGGCCGGCCATGTCGTGGCAGTTCTGCTATCTCTCCAAATCCATTATTCTGGCTCCACACTTCCTGAAGTTTGAAGTTTTTTGTCATGTTCTAGGCTGGAGGCTTTTGTTATGCCCTCACTCGTATTGTTTTTGCCCGTCACTTTTAAGTCCTAAATATCGGACCTTGTGTCATCTGATACGTTCTCCATGGGAAATGAAGAGCCCTTGTAATTTTAACTCCCTACTCATGCAACCTCAGGTGTGATGAATTCTGCTTCGTTAATGCCCACTGTTTACGTCACCGTCCCTTTTCCAGGAAATTACCACTAATCACAACACCCATCAGTGATGCTCTTATTCTGACTGTAATAATATGATGATGCCTGACGGTATGCTACCCACTAGCTGGGAATAAATATTATTATTTTTAATATTATTATTATAAGGTTGGTTCCGCCTACTGTTCCTCAGTGCCGGTCTCTATTAGGGTTCCTCAAGGCTCCGTTCTGGGACAACCGCAGTTTGTTGTACGTCAGCGACTCTCCGGATGCTATTAATAATAATAATAATGTTTAGTCCCAACTTGTGGGTGGAATACCGTCTGGTATGATCATGCGTTCACAGTCGGAATGGGGCATGACTGAGGGAT